AAAAAATACTTATTTTCATTAATAATTTCTTAATATTTAAATTAATTAAATTTTTTATTAAAAATTATTATAAAATTAAATAATTAATATAAAAACATAAAAATAATCCCGTGCAATGCACGGGTTAAAAAAAAACCTAGTTATTTCAAAATAATCCTCCTCTGTTTCAGTATCCCAGTCCAGCTGAAAAGAGTTGGCTGTTTTCATCAGTTCTGTTAGACGTGTAAGATCTTCTAGATTGGCAGGATGATTAATTGCTTGAAGACCAGTAAACTAGTTTTGTATTTTTGTATTTTTTTTTTTTAAATATATGTGATATAGGCATTCTTGAATTTCCGGAGGAAATTTTATTACAGGCACCCTTCATCATAGAAATACATAGAAAAAGTTCCTAATTTTACGATTTAGTACAAACCATAGTCATGTCCACTCACAGCTTACCAGCTTAATTACCGGTTTCTGTAACAGAAATTATACAATATATGCAGCTTTTACATACTTCTTTAGTATTTAACATCAACATAATCAACGTGAAACCAATGAGAGCAATGCCCTTACGAAGACGAGCTTGAGGAATCCGTAAAAGAGATCCTCTGCCTCTTGTTCGGGACTAGTGTTGTTCTTGGTGAGTATTCAGGGGAGACAGAAGCCTTCTCCAGGACAGAACTCAAGGCCTGGTGAATGGAATCTGAAAGAAGTTGACGTGCTTTAGCAGGGTCAACGTGCACACTCGTGCAGCTGGTCAGAACAAAATCATTCTTCATTCTGTCACCCAAGGTTGACATTTCAGCGTTAACCATCTTTAGTTGAAGGCCTTCAAGAGCTTTCCTCAGGTCAGTCAGAAGTTCGGGTTTATTATCAGAGCAGATGGTTGCCTTGAAAGAAAATGTTCCATCCACTTCATCATCAAACTGTTGGACGCTCACTTCATCAGTATCCACTGGAATGAGAAAACCTTTACTTGCTTCATGTGCAGTCTTCTTCAGTTCTTTCACTTGCTTAATAACTTCAGCAAGCAACGTGGCTTTATCCATCTGCAGTTAAAAATTGGACAAGAAGTTGAAATGAAAGCAGGCCACAGAAAATTATAGCCTAACTAACAATATCCAAAAACAATAAAGGAAAATGATTGGTACATTTTCGGTTCAACACTTTTTTTAACACACTTTCAGTTTAATCATTAAAAATATAATATAAATACAATCAATTCAATCGGTTTGTATATCATTGTATCATTAAACTTATTTGTTTTTTATTTCAGATTAAATTATTTTTTAATAAATGTGTCACATAATATGTTGAAACGGAGTGTGTAGCAATTATTGTCTAACAATAAGTTTAGAAGCCAACTACAATTAACAAGAAAGTAACAGGCTGCTAGTAATGTCATAATAATAGCACAAGCTTTTTCCATAATAACTTAAGCGAAAATACCCCAAAAGGAAAAGGAATAACTTAGGTGAATTCTCTGACTTGGTTAAAGATAAACAAACTTTGACAAACTGAAGCAAGGAAATAAAAAGAAAAGTACAAAGAAGAATATTAATTATCCTAGATGTTTTTTCCTTGCTTACGTCCCCAAAATGATAAAATATCATATTGACCGGGTAATCAACTTAAATCAAAACAATTAATTAATATAAGAAAGGAAATCAACAAATAATAATAATAATAATAATAATAATAATAATAATGCAAGAAAGACATGGACCTCTTCAGATATCATAGCCCAACAGCTGGCACATGGTCCTACCAATCTAACCATTATTTTCTGCATCACTTTCAAATACAGATATGGTTTCCAACCGACTATAGGATTTCATGGAAAAAATTTACATAAAAAATTATAATTCAAATTTGTCCTATTAAATAACATGAAGATCAGAAAAATAGAAGTAGTTGAACATAGAAACAAGGAGTTGTCGACGTTTATAGTTGTGCATGTTGTTTTGACTTAATGAGAATAAAATAACATGGCAGGAAGCTTCCTCCGGACTATTTATATAATCAGAATAAAATAAGATGGCAGGAAGCTTCCTCCGGACTATTTATATCTTTTTTCTACAATTTACTTACCTCATCAAACAAGGTTAATACTGGACAGTACAAAGACATACACTCTCCTCGTCTTTTCTGTGTAAACTCTGTTATTACGTACCATGCAAGTCACTCTTGTAAACAAGCTTAGATGACTGGTTTGATATGAAGATAAAGAGCCAAACTCTATGAATACCCAGCAAATAGTAGGTGTGAAACGATGCAACTGAATTTAAACAGGTAAACATACCAGTTACAGGGAAAGATACAAGTTGGGACCCCACAAGTTGGTTTCCAAAATCATATGTAAACCTTAATATCAAAAGTATCGAATTCTACATATTATACAACATGAAAACTAGTGTATCTTCTAGTTGACTCTCGTTTTGTAAATGCAGAGTTGAATCCAAGTGCAAAAAAAATGCAACAAAGAGTAAACCATTTAGTTAAGTTATACGAATGGAATAAAGGTTTAGGAATCAGCTGCTGACATAACCTCCTATTTAAAATTTCTTGTAATAGAAAGCAGCAAAAGGAATGCATAGACAATATCCGAATGCCAATTCAAGATGAAGAAACATCTAACTCTACAGGGCATTGAACTTTTTCAATTTATTAGAAGTATGACAGTGTTATCAGAATGTCAATTCAGTGGGATAACCTCTACCATCGTAAGGCATTGGGAAACAAAGCTTTGCCAGATTTTATCCCGTTTGTTCCTTTTCCATTGGTCAAGAATGTTATATACATAAGTCTATCAGGAAAAGGGTATGGGAGAACATACTCTTCAATTATCACTCATGAGGAACCAGACTCCATTCTATATTTTCAACTTCAATGTCAACATATTTCAGCAATCTATGGTACTATTAGCTAAAATACTAACAATTGGAGTTGGAGCCAATAAAATAAAATAAAATAAATATGAGATTTCCTAATATCTGCTCTAATTCCTTTAAAAAGAAACACTCAGCTCATTTATGCCAAAATCTTGTCTAACCTAAGATGTGAGATGTTTTTTATTTTCCATCCCAGCATTCAAAGCTCTAAACCTTTATTTTGGCCGACCTATCTTCGCAAGGAACAGACTCCACCTACAGCTCAAGCAAATATGTGGAATGTGTTGCGTCTATTCTTACAGCTCGAAATAGACAAGACAACATTGAATAAATCAATTCGTAGCATGCATGTGAAAACAACATCAACCAAATCGAAATCGATTGACTTGCAGTACTACTGTTATAACCAATATAAACCAATATTGAAAAATATAGATTACCTTTTCTCTGCAGGGCACAAGATCGCGAAGTGTATTGAGATGAGCATTGATCCTTTCTCTCCTCCTCCTCTCTGCCTCGCTATGACTCTTCAAAGCCGCAGTAATTTTATCCTCAGATACACTCTTTTTCCCTACTCTCCCCGGCGCCTTTACTAGCTCCCCCTTCCCGCTATCCAGAACCAAAGACTGTGAAAGCGGCCTGCTTGTGCAACCTCCAT